TCGGTTACTTTCAAAGACGTGTGCTCGACGGTGCAAGATACGCGTTTCTTAACTCTTTTATCTGTTTAACTAACGCTAGTTTTGCAGGTATCGGCGTTACAAGAGTGGTTTAGGATCGCAGAACGTTATGAATCATTCTCCGTCCCTATCGATACTTTGACTTTTGTTTTCGAAAGTCGCGTTTCTCCAAACTCTGTCAAAGTGGGGGCTTCTGTATACACCCATTTGTGTCTCTCAAAAACCAAACCCAGTGATGAGTACCTTTCGCGTCGAATCATAATCGAATGAAGCGAGATTGTGGAAAGTCTAGTGTTGCGGATAGTTTTAATTCTTTTCTCCTCTCTGTTTTTGAAATCTTATTTTAAGAAAACAGCCAATCAAGTTTGGTTGGTCCATGATATGGGTCCAATAGTAGTGTAGTTGGATGGGGCTTGACAAGAGCTTTCCAACGATATATTATAAGCCCAATTCTGATGAATATTGAGGAAGTTATGGCCAATTTACTAAACTGGGTCTGGTTTGAGCCTTATATGCGGCCCAATGATCTAGGGGAGGGCCTAATATGATTTATCATTCCTAATGCAATTAGGAATGGTTTTAGTCTTCTAGATTCTTCTAGAAGGTTCTTTTCATTCCTAATTCAATTAGCATTGATAAATTGACTTTTGTTGACTTTTCAGAGTTTTAATTAAAACTAAAAAAGCATTTTCTAGGAAAAGATACGATTTTCTCCTCCAGTACGGCAAACTTATCTGATTTTCGAAAACGCGTCAAAAATAGGACTAGCACCTGGCGCCAGCCATTGGCGCCTGGTGCTAGTGATTGGCGCCTGGCGCCTATTAGCAAGGGCTGGCGCCAGCTCTGTTTTTCGTGCGCCAAATACTCTGTTTTGATATTTTATCTTTTTGGCTGATTTTCTCTATAAATAACGTCGTAAAAACTCCGTTTTCAATCATCAACAATCAGTTTAATTAATATTAACCTACAATCAGTTTTCAATTCTCATTCTCTCTAATCAATCATTTATCTCTCTCTCTTTTTCTAAAACTAGCTTTTCATACAAAATTCCGCATTCATTAGATCTAGAAACACCTAGCCATATTCGAAGTTGCCTTCGCCCTAGACGTGAAAGGTTTAATTTCTGAGGGTTTGGTCCCAAATCTCTCTTTCAGTTATTTAATTTAATTGTTTTGATTATTATTTTCCTTGAAGTTACTAATGGTTTTTTTATTGATGTTATGATGTAGAAATCATGTTTATATTGTTATTATGATATTCCTAGTATCATGCCTAGGGTAACTTTAATATTAAATATGATTGTTACGATGCTTCCTATTTTCTTCCTAATATTTGTGATTGTTAGTATCATGTTAGGGTTAAAGGTTTGATTTTTAATGCTTAGTGACATGCTAGGATTTGTTATTAATCTTGTTAGTAGCATGCCTAGGATCTTGCTATTATTATGCTTTAATATTAACATGAACATGATTATGATTATAATTGTTATGATTTATGATGATTATGAATATTATTATTATTATTTTGATGATTATTTTATTTTTATAATTATTATTATGATGATTATTATTATGTTGCTTGATATTTATTATTATTGTTTGATCACACCTTTATTGCATGTTTAAAGAGAATTCGTACTTGTAATCACGCTTAATAAGATAATTAATAATCTTGTTTAGGGTTAATTGATTATAATTCAAGTGATCGCCAATAATTGTTTTATTTGTGCATTAAATTCAACCAACATAGATAAACAGGTTTAGGGTTAATCCTAGTGATTGCAGGTTAATTAAAAAGCGCACATGAATACGATCAGAATAAGTAGAGGCCTATTATTAGGGCAGGTTCAATCTCTTTTATGTTGGATTTGTACCTTCATCCCCGAGCCCTTATTTGGTTCAAGACCTTATGGAGTTGACGATCTCTTGGATCGTTAAGGGGTGTAACCTTCACCCTGTGAATGGTTTACAAGTTCCTAAAACTTGTTGGCGACTCTTTTGCTCTATCTTCTTCCCTTTTGGATGCCACCGTACTTTAGTGTATGATCATAGTGGGATTCAAGCTAGGGGTTAACGCTTGAAATTATTCCCTACAGGTGTCTACTCCTTTTAAGTGGAAAAGAATTTGGAAACTCCACACTCACCCAAAAATCAAGTTATTTCTTTGGCAACACATTTGGGATAGAATAGCTTCAAATTTGAACCTTCACAAAATAATCCCACATAATAACCCTTGTTTCCCTTTCTGTCCATCAACAGAGGAATCTCTAAGCCACCTTTTCATCTACAGCCCTCGGGCTAAAGAGTTCTTGAATCAGTTTCCATATCCAGTTAATCACCAACAACCTTATTGGATGCATCAGAACATCAGCATCTTTTCTATTTGTGTTCATTCAATCCCATGGAACGTTCTATTTTCCTTCATTTTTTGGCACATTTGGCTAAGAAGAAATGCATGGCTTTTCAAAAAAAAAAAAAATTCCCACAAAACAAGCTGTCCGCCAGTGTATCTGGGCTGCTTCTGAGTGCTATTTCTCAAAAAATTGTACATCAGAAAGTCCTAAGCCCTCTAATGATGCCTGGTCTCCTCCCTCCTTTCCCTTTTTAAAATAAATTGCGATGCTTCTTTCACTGATGCAAACAAGAGCATGGGTGTTGGTGTGATATGTAGAGATTATAAGGGTGATTGGATTCAAGGTCTATCTTGGAGAGGCTACAGCCCCACTAGTTTCGATGCTGAACTCAAAGTTGTCCACTTAGGACTAATTTGGGTGAAATAGAAGAGATGGGAGAATGGGATAATAATTTCAGATTCCAAAAGGGTTGTGGAAGAAATTTGTGGATGTCAATCTACTGCTAACTTACCTATTCTGATCACAAAATGCAGGGACCTGCTAAGGGATCTGCACCCTCTGGAGTTGCACTTTAAGGGAAGACAATCCAACTCAGTAGCTGACCTAGTAGCGAAAGATGCAAGGAAGAAGCTGGAGCTTGTTAATCAGACTTACATTTTGCACTACCCACCTTCAGTTTGATGCGTAGCTTTTGAAAAAGAGCGTTGCTCTGAACTTGTAAAACTAAACTTAATTTCAGCTGGTGATGTCCCAGCTTTGAACCCTGGTGTTGTAACTAACTCGTTTATCTATGTTTAATCCCATGCATCTTTAAAAAAAAAGGTGAATTTATTGATACAACTAAGGGATGGCAATGGGTCCTGGACCCGATCCATATTTTAGGGTATGGGTCCATAAATTTTAAACTCGATGGGTTTAGGTTTAAGTTTAATGGGTTGGTTTTGGGTTTCGGTCTACACTTTTTAGACCCAGACAAGTCCCATGAAACCATTTTTTTAATTTTTTTTATGAATAATAAATGTATATTAGATATACTATTATGAAATAAACCGCTTAATCATATATATTAGATTAGTAATATACTACGTAATTAGAGATTGAGAATATAGACTTTAGAAAAAGCCAGCAAAACAGCAAGTAGCCAAGAATTAGTTTTTTCATGCATTGTCTTTACTTTTTAATGAACAAATTATTTGTGTATTAAAAATATGAACAAAATTTTTTTAATGCATCTTTTATTATATCAAGTAATAGTATAGTTATAAATTTATAATATTTATATAAAAGATTATAAAAAAATTATAGTTGGACCCGTTTTAAACCCAAGATCCGCTAGACCCGATGGATCTGAGTCTGGGTCTGATTTTTTTAGACTCGGTGGGTGTGGGTCAGATCTGGGTCCACCTTTAAAATTCCGAGTCTGAGTTTCACTGAACCCGACTCATTGTCATCCCTACATACAAATACAAGTACATGTTATAGTAAATAAGGCTAGTGGAAGGTGGTAACTTACAGCTTCTGCACTGAGAGTTTTCTTTTTTTATGTAAGGGATGAAATCATGAAACGGTTACTTGTAATTTTTGGCTTGGTCAGTAGTCTCAGAACAGTTTTTTTTTTTTTCTTTTTTCTTTTCATATCATGAATTTATACCGAGTACTTCGTAATATTTAAGCAAAACTCATACGGGATTATTTTTTTTCCTTCTCATTCTAGAGAATATCAAGAGATTAATGACCTTTCCTTTGGCTTATATACAAATTTATAGAGATTATTAACTCACTATTTTTATTTTTTATTAGTTTAAATTTTAATAACAAACCCCACAATATCTTACAAATTCAATATAATCACCTAAAAGTATGAAACTACAAAGGGTTCAAATTGTTACATTTATAATATAAAAGATAAAAGGATTAAGTAGTTCCAAACTTCCACAAAAGCATTTTTCTTTCAACTCCATTCTAAACAAAAATTAAAATTTAGCTACACAAATTATTCACACTACTCAAGTCTACACTCCAATGGGGCAAATAAGGTGACAGGTTGATGTGTTTACCAAAAAAATGAGTGAAATTTTAATATGATCAAATAAAGTACATGCACAATTCAACAAAGTGCAAGCTAAGGCTATCAAACTCTGTTTGATAAAATCATTAATCATTGGTTTGCCTTAAATTAATTGATAAAATATTATACAGACCAACTTCTAATCAAACCACCAAAACATACAAACTAAATAACCTAATCAAGTAGTAACAATTGCATTATAGCAATGCAACTTCGGAGTACTTAACTAACTTGTTATATCAAAATTCGATCTTCCCTTATAACTTAACATAAGATCTTTGAATTTTGATGGTGTCAAGGGAACAATGTTATCAACCACACGAAATATGTAGACGTTAAAGACAGGAGTAAGCCCTTTTTGAATCAGCTTGAATACACATGAATCGTGCACCTCTAAATTATTGTCAAGCACAAAGTTTTTCCAGTTTCGTTTGAGATAGTAGTAATGATTACAAGCCCTGTTGTCTTTAAATTTAATTTGAATCCAACAACCCAGCATCGATCTCCAACCTGCAGCTTCACACCATTAGGTACTGTATTGTGATGATTCCGTTTTCCTTGCTATTGTAATTCGATCTTTCTCTTAGCTTTAGTCATGTAACATGACTTTGTCAAGGGAACAATGTTATAAATGGCACGAAATATGTAGACGTTAAAGACAGGCAAAGGTCCTTTTTGAATCAGCTCGAACACACATACATCATCCACCTCCAAATTATTATCAACCACAAAGTTCGGCCAGTTTGGATTGAGGTAGTGATGAATATAACGATTCCCAATTTCTGAACGTCTGTATCCAACAATCCAGCTTCGGTTTCCAACCTGCAGCCTCACCTTTTGAGTGCCTTCGACCATATGCTCTAATGCCCATTTATTTGGAATTGTCTGCTTACAAATCCATACATATATACATCATAAGTTGGTAAATTATAGCAAAAAATGTTAAGATAGTAACTATGAGTATGCAACTATATAAGTAAATAATACGAAGTATTTAGCTAGTATAATGCATGATTTTAATCCTTGACATAATGTCACATTACTCATACAGAGAAAAATACCACTTAACTTCTGTGTACTGCTATTTATTTTCTTTCCATTTAATTTTCTAATTCATCTCAATATTGTTTCTACACATTTTCCAGCTTATAACCAAATAATCAACAGATTAATTAACCACACTTTTCATTGGTTAAACAAAAAAATTATTAATCAGAACTAAAATGAACTCATGGGTTTTGAGAGGAAAACAAACCAGTTTAAAAAGTTTAGTAACATGTGAAGGCACTAAGGTTATCTGAAACATAGGCGCGCTCTGAATCTTGTTCTGCCTTGCAATAGCCTCCATAAATCTGGTAGCCTTTTCGACAGCTATGTTCTTTTCTTCATCTGTAGGATCCCTCCTATTAGATATGTGTACTCTGACCAGTTGGGGAGTTTTCCGGCTCCCTGCATGTACAATAACATGCTGATAAATTCATCATTTAGTAAAAATAAAATAAATACTACCTCCGTTAACTATTATTTGCAACAAAGGACTATTATTTGTGAGATATAAAATATTCCTTTGTTGCAAATAATAGTTAACGGAGGTAGTATATCAAAACTTTCAGATAAACCTTTAACCTTTACCTGAAACATACTCGTTCTCAGACTCATCAGTTGTTTCAACAGTAGTAGCAGAGTCATACTCATGGTCTTCCTCATCAATCTCAATTGGTTTCTGCGAACTTCCAACAGCAACAGCAGCAGCAGGTTTAAGAGTCGGGGTAGGAGTAGGAATAGGAGTCGGCGCAGGAGTAGGAGTAGGAGCAGGAGCAGGAGCAGGAGCAGCAGCAGCAGCAGGATTAGGAGTCGGGGCAGGAGTAGGAGCAGGAGCGGGAACAGGAGTACTCATATTCGTACCCGGACTATTGTTGTTATCAGCCCTGTTAAAGTGCAAAGTGCTCGTACAAGTAAATTTGTGTGAGCTAGAAGATGTGTTACTCGTAAAGTGAGAGCCCTCCCTTTCGCAACTATTCTTCCCATCGAATACAAAGACTTTAAACGACGAATCTCCAGCATAACGAAACACCACAATGTCACCAACTTGTATTCTATGATCATTGACAAACTTCTCCCATCCGTCTGTGAATTTCGTATGAATTTCATTTTCGGCTGAGCTTGAACACTTCACTCTCCATTTGCTTTCATTTGGTCCGATTAGTGTACACCATGTTGACAATTCCTCTTTGAAACATTCAATAAACTTCTGAGGAATTTTCTACCAAACCAAAAAAAAACAAAAAACAAAAACTTGTGATAAGTGGGTAGTTAAACTTGAGGTCTTCAACCATTTGAAATTTTATACTTACTAATGCACAATTAATATGATAAGTTAAATATTCTTTCTATTATCAATTAATCATCCTTTGCGAAATTTATAAAATAATCCGGAGTTATAATAATTTTGAAAGCATACCCAAGACAAATCTAGCAAACAAGATTCCTGACTATGTTCTTCTTTGAAACATTATATGAAGTTTTGAGAAATTATTTACCAAAAGAAAAATAAAAACTTGTGATAAGTTGAGTAATTATATTAATACTTAGTTTCCTCACTTCCTCAGTTCATTATAAATTAACCAATTGAAGTTTTACGCTAGCTAATGCACAATTAATATGCAAGATTAATAGGATGATTCTATGGTAGTCAACCTTAAAATGATTAATACGAGTTCTAATTTTTAATGTCAGAATTAATTATAAATCATTTATCTAATTTTAAAAATTTAATCATTAATTTTGAAATAATTTTGGATTTTTTAAATAATTTTCCTAATTCACTTTTTATTATTATTGAAATTAAAAAAAAATCATAAATTAATTATAAATTGTAAAAAAAAAAAATTAAAAATATGAACAAAATTTATAATTAATTTTGACGTAAAAAAATAAATTACAAATCATCCAATAAAAAATTAGTATAATAATAGTCATTTTAGGGATGACTACCATAGAATTTCATTTTTCATATGATAATTTTTTTGTAAGCAGAATTGCAAATAATGTTCTTGTAAAACAATATAGAACCTTTATAGTAATTTTCTACCAAAAAAACAGAACAAGTAAAAACTTGGCATATAATAAGTAAAATGAAAGGGTAAATAGGAAGAAAATTACCAGTTGTTGATGGAAATTGTAGGGCATGATGACAAGAAACTGGTGAGTTGTTGAAGGAAAGTTATGCCAGTAATGGTAATTTTCTTTAATCTCACACCATTGGCATTTCTTTGCCATTTTCGCAAAAGCTAGCGTAGAGTAAGAGAGATAAAGATGAGAAAGAGAAATGGAGAGATCAAGAAATGAAGTTTTGGATGAGTGCAAATCTTTTGGCAGAACTGCAGAAGATACTACTTACCAATAACTATATGGTTAAATTTTACTACGAAGTACATGATACAACTAATACAAGTACTCCATGTTCATAAATGAGGACAATAAAAGATCAGTATGTAAGTGTTGAACATTTAAGAGCAACTATAAATACTTTTGTACAACAACACCAAAAAAAAAAAAAAAAAAAAAAAAAAAGGAAAGTGTCCTTAAATTAGGGATGACAATGGGTCGGGTCCATTGAGAACCAGACTCGGAATTTCGGAGGTTGACCCAGATTTCACTCAGGCCAACTAGGTCTAAAAAAATCATACCCAGATCCATCGAATTTAGCGGGTCTCGGGTTTAAAAACGGACCTAAAACGGGAATAGCTATGATTTTTAGTGTAATTTTAAACGGACCTAAAACGCGAAAGGAGTATCAAGGATTACATAATATACATATTGGAGAAAAATATATGGTACAATAGCTCAAAAATTTACAGATAATGTGAATTGAACCAGTTGCATCTAATTTAAAGTTCACTTGTAAAATAACGTAAAATATACTTTCTTTTTTATTTTTTTGAAGAAATGTAAAATATACTTCGTATAGTTTAATTAGAAAATGAAAATAAAAAATACATAAGGTGACATTACATCTTAGAAAATAAAGAAAAATAAAACGTAGAAATATACAAGAAAAAAAAATTGACGATACTCACAAAATATACATAGGGATAATTTTGCAAATAAAAAGAAACGGAGGTAGAATCATAAAAAAACAGAAACATAATTCTCAATCATCATCCTCCATTTCATGATCCATTAGCAACCAAGAACCATCATTTTGTTGAACCATACTTTTATATTTCAACACCCACCAATTAACAGGAATAAGGTACTCATCTTTCAAACAATCAAAGAACTTGTTCAATAATGCGACGTCACGTTCCACAACCAACTTAAACCCTTCATCACCACTCCCTTGAGTACCCGCCACACCGTGCAAGTAAACCTCAAGGTTATGTGAAATCGAAGGAAGCCCCGGGTTTTTCAAATAGACCGATTGAGTTGTGTCGATCGTTAACTCCTCGCCGACATCAACATAATCGATTAAGGGATAGTTAGGGACAAAATCTTGTGCATTACATACACGCAAGATTCTAAGTTCGTCGTGTTTTAACAATGTTTTCTTAAAGTTTGCATCTCCAACTCGAGGGCTAGCGAATACTATGGCTGTTACTTTGCAAGGTTTGGAATTTGGGGAGTTTTTACGTTGGTTGATTTTGTTTGCGACGATGTCAGCTGCGTTTAATGTTGCAAGTGCCGCGCCTAGACTGTGGCCGGTTACTGTTATGCTTATCTCTTCTTCCTTGTATTGCTCCACCAACTTTGTAAGCTCTGTTAGAACCTGGCATGATTAAGGAACAAGATATTGATTAGGTTTTGTAAGTTATATCAAAGTTAAATAATGTAACCCTAGTCCCTAGAGCACAAAACCTTGGGGACTGTTCACATTTATTGAATTGAACTGATTGGAGCTGAATTGAACTGATTGAAACTGAACTGTACTGATTGGAGCTGAGCTGAACTGAACTGAATATTTTGTGAGAGCGGAAAATTAGGAGCTGAACTGAATTATTTATTGAAGCTGAACTGAATTGAACTGATTGGAGCTCAACTGAACTGAATAAACTGAACTGAACTGAAATTAAGTAAATGTGAACAGACCCTTAATCTTATTGACTCTTTGCCCTGACTTATGTCCTTAAACTTATTTTAATTATATTCACAAGAAAAAAAAATACTATATAATCATGTAAAATTTTATTAAATTTGCCTTAATAATTTAATTATATTAACCTTTCAAGTATCAAAGTACCATTAGATGATGAAGTCTTACAACGCAATAGTACTACTTATGTTAGTATCCGTACACTCTCCATGTTGTCCACTATGTTAGCATATGGACTATTGATTAATTAAATTAAGCAGTGCATTAAACTGATGAAGTCAAGGCCAAGTCGTGTCCCGCATACTCCAACGAACCTTAAGTATATATGCAATTTAGTACAAAGTTTTGATACTAAGTCTTAATTATTATTCTATCTATGACAGCTCTTTCTTTAATTTAACTTTATATTTAGTACGAGATATCTACATGGATATATATGCGTTGCATGACCATAATTATATAGTACTTTGTTACGACTTATAAATTCTTCAAATATATAATATCTTGAATAATGCAAATATTCTAATTAACTCTAATACAAAAGAAGTAATTTATATGAAAAACAATGGTTTGATTGTATAATATAGGTAAGATTAATTGAGGAAGTTAGAAATTCTTGGGAAGTTTAATTTGAGTTCTCATAGATCATGGAATAGCCACTTCTCCCTTAATAAGCCATAATGAACATTTGTTTTTGTTATCTAAATTACTTAACTAACCTTTAAATTCCTAAAAAGTGCAAAAAGTGTTAGCCAAACAAATCAAACCTAGTTATTTCCTAGGAAAACAAAGGAACTAATTACATTTTCTTTTAACTGAAAGTTCCTATGGTAATTAATTCTTATGTGAATCAAACGAGCACTCGAAAGTAGAACTTACCTGATCTCTTGCACTTGTCTTTTCAAAGGCCGATGATAAATTCTCGGTGGTATAGATGGAGTGCCATCCTTGATGCACCTCGGGCCCACCATCATCACCTTCATGCCCTAACATAGCAGATGCTGAAACTTGCAAAATTTGAAAATCATTTAGCCACTCTAAGAATTGTACACTCCCTCTCCATGCCACTACAATCTCCCTTCTTCCCAACAACTCCACAGACTCATCATCAGCCACCGCGATGTACCCCATAAAATTCGTATCCTTACTCCATGGCTCAATAGACGAGAATGGCTTAAACAAGAAGGCATCAGGCATTTCTATCCCCGAAGTTCCATAAAAGAACTTTGTAACACGGTACTTGTAAGGATGACCTAATTCAAGACCTAACTTGGCGAAGAAGTTATTCTTATTAAAACGACTAGCACCCGCATATTTAGAGTACTTATCTCGAATAAAAGTGTCATAGGTTGCCTGAGCCATCTCTCCATAGTAGATGATAGATCTTCGGAGTTCATTATCAAGTGGCTCGAGTAGGCCTTCCCAATGATTTTGACCCATCAAAAGTTCCCATCTATCGGCTATGTAACCATCATCGGAGCTCGAGTGGTGGCTGGTGCTATTAGGTCTCCATTTAGGAGGTGTAGGGACTTTGGAGAATTTTTTGCGGAAGAAACGTTTGACAAAGGAAAACATGATCGCGTCAATAAGGCTTATCTAGCTTAGGCTTTTTCTTGGAATAGAAAGGCAAGGATGTGACATGCTCTCTTTGAACTATATATAGATGATCAGTTATGCTAAATTGCTAATCTATACATTATTATTACATAAGGTATACGGCATTGCCAGCATGATCTTCCATATACTTGTATTAAATTAACAAACTAAGCTTAGCCTAGCTTGTTAATTTCTACTAAGATTATGGTGGACCAAAACTTTTACTGATTCAATGTTTACATGATTCAAATAGAGTAATAATGTCCAAAATTATACTTTATTTGTTTGCATAACATAAAATTGTATGACTTGGTAGCTCTTTGGACATGCATGCACTTACTAGTAGTTTAGGGGGTAAATAATAGTTCTTTAGACACTTTAAACAATAAATATATAATTATTTGAATAGGAACTTGCAACACTAATTGAGTTAGGCTTGTAATTATGAACTTATTATGGACTTAAACTTATTTGAATTTAATTACAATTCATGAAGCTTAATTAATTATTTTTTAATAATGTTAAAGAACAAAGCCAATGCTTAATTGACAAATAATGACGTAATTAATGTTCCTTAATTAGTAAATTAACATTTTTTTTAATAAATCTTAACTAAAAAAATTTGAAAACAAGGTCGTTAGACAAATGTAGGAACAAGATTATCAAGAATGTACCAAAGCAAATATCAGAAAACGAAAAAGGCGAATTAGATAGTATAAATATAAAGTTGTCAAAGTATTCGACTAGACTCTTTCTATGGAAACTCTACTAGACTTTAGACCATTATGCTTCGTAATTTCGTATACAGATTATCCGAACATATCAAAACATACAATTGGCTATTGACTTTAAATTAAATTGTCTTTACTTATATATATCAAAACCAATAATTAAATAAATAAATAAATAATTATGACCTCATTTTAAAAGGGTCTTTTTGTTACCAAGCTCGACTCTTATCTTATCATGTTGGATGCATTTTAGCAACATATAAATTTAAGTGCAAACTAGAGGTTAACAAAAACAGCTTATTCCACAACTATTTTGAATCGAACATGCCTACATTCAAGCATGTAGAATCAATCGAATTAAAACCAAACTTTAAACCACAGTTTGATCAATATGTGATACTCTTATTAGTCTTATACTTCCTCCGTTCTAATAATATTGCAACAATAAGACTTTTGCACTATTCAATACTCTTGTTTTGACCACATAGTATGATTCATACGTTAAATAAAATAGTCATATAAGGTCTTGTTAGAATTGTCTCATAAAATTCTTTCACAATATCAACTTTTTATACGAGTAATTTTTACTCTTATATAATTATAGATATTTAACATAGAAAATGTGCTTTAAGATGCGTAATTTCATCCTTGTTGCAATTATATTGGAGTGGAAGGAGTATGAGTTATCTCCTTGAAGGCTTTGAAGCAATGTCATCAAAAGCGTTGAACTAGTATAAATTAAGATATATAAACCAATAATAACCAAATTAAGTACGAGGCATCTTTTAAAAATGTGCCTTAAATTACATTTAACACTCATAAATATTATTAGAAACAAACTTTAAATAGAAGTAGTGTATAACATAAAATTGTGGCATTAGTAATTACTTTGATTCCAGGTTAGTTGTTGAGCTGATTGCTTCAACCGACCAAAAAAAGCACTCAACAAGCCTTATCCAGCTCGATTTTTAGTAAATCTGTACAACTACGCTAACTTGTTAATTAGCTAACGTTGTTTCAATCAAATAATCTGGTATTGTCGTGGACCTTAAAGCAAGTCAGGTCAGTGCGTGCTTCAAATTTGATGATATATTGGCCAATTTTGTCACGCAAATTTATTTGAGGCCAAATTCATATGCCAAAAAAAAAAAAAGTCAAGGAAGGTTTTTGTCATTTAATTTATGCTACCCAAAAACAATAATAATCGGACCTATTTTTTATTTTTCATCTTAATGACGAGTAAATTATTGTATGGTTCTGAATCAATGTATGCTCTTCCTCGTTGCGTAGAAACAAGATTATTAGAAGGATCTTGCTAACGAACGCTCCCAGGACGTTGGATAAACATATAAAATACTACCAAAAATGGTACGGAGTATAAATTTGGGAAAGCATGACAAAATCACGGGACACATCGATCGGTGTAATTAATGTTTATTTTAATTAAATCTTTCTAATTTTATCTAGCTTATCCAACACCCCCGGGCTTTCATTGGCTTTTGCGTTATTAGAATACAATATTTAAGAAATGTAGTTGCAATAATTTGGCCTCTATAGAGCTGCTCTGCTCTGCTCTGCTGAAATATGCTCTGCTCTGCTTCAATCTGCTCTGCCCTGCTCTGCTCTGCTCTGCTTAAAATTAATACTAAATATTGAATTATTATAATAATGATTAATATTCAATAATAATAATAATAATTAATATTTAATAATAATAATAATAAATAATTAATATTTAATAATAATAATAATAATATATAATATTTAATAATAATAATCAATAATAATTAATATTTGATAATAATAATAATTAATAATTAATAATAATAATAATAATAATAATAATAATAATAATAATAATTAATATTTAATAATAATAATTAATATTTAATAATTATAATAATAATAATAATTAATATTTAATAATAATAATAATAATAATAGTAATTATAATAATGATAATAATAGTAATTATAATAATGATAATAATAGTAATAATAATACTTATAACTAATAATATCAATTATAATAATAATAATTAATTTTTATAATAAAAATTAATATTAAGATAATAACTAATATTTAAAGATAATACTAATTTATAATTATTAATATTAGTAATAATAATAATTAAATAATATTTAATAATAATGATAATTATAATTAATATAATAATAATAATTAATATTTAATAATAAAATTTAATGATTAATAATAATGCGATAATATTAGTAGTAGTACTAATACTACTACTACTACTACTACTACTACTACTTCTACTGATTAGGGGATTTTGCTCCCACCAATCGGAATGCGCCACGTGGGCCAATCAGGTCCTGCCAGGTGGCACACGCTTATTCGTCCACCCTGGACTTATTATGTCATGACACGTGGCATACTCCATGCCTAATGGAGAAGCCGGTCACCTAGGCCCAACTTCCGAGGGAAGCCCAATCAGCCCAAGGTTAACCTAAACCTAGATTGGCACGTTTCCCGAGGTTATAAATACCTCCCTTAATCCTCATTAAGGGAGATTACGCAGATTACACACATTAAACACTCTCACTTAGAGAGACCCAATCACTTTAATTTCGGCATTAATTACTCCTTAATCAAGTACTAACTTGACCGTCGGAGGCGGATCTCCAATCATCCGGAGCATCCGTTTGTTTTGCAGGTACAGGCGTCCGGTTCCAGTCTCGGAATTGTAACTCTCCCGCAGGACATCAGAAAACCCCGAAACATTTTGGCGCCGTCTGTGGGGAGAGTACTTCTGAGATGGCATCCACGTTTGTACCGACTCCTGAAGAGAGGCGTCCCCTAGACGACCCTCAAGTTCAGTCGGACCATGATACTGAGGAAGAATTTAAAGTTGAAGCTCACACAGCTTCAGACGGGACCCTAAGGGCCCGGCGCACCCGTCCTACCGAAAGGAGGGAACGAGAGGCTGGTCCCAGCCGGCCCACCGCCTGAGACTCAGCAGGCGGCCGAAGGATCTGCTCCTATTACTAGGACAGAACTCATGACTCTCATGAGTACTTTCAAGGGAAAGATCCAAGAGCTTGTCAATAAAAAGGCGACTGCTCCACCAAAGGAACAGTCGGCCAGATCAAACAACTCCCAGTTGAAGTTACATGCGCCTCGCATGAAATTACTGGGTACAACCGGCAATATACCAGCCTCCGAGCATCCGGCCAGGCGGCCAACTACTGCAGGCGTCATACGGCCGAATGCAAAGAGTAAGACGGTCAAGCTTGTAAGCTATTTATTATTATCATATCATTATTATGATGGTAAAAAAAAATCATTATTATCAAATCATTATCATACGGCCACATGCGCCTAACTTACTGATTTTGTATGGCAAAGCTCCACCTAAGAGCCTTAGGTGGCAACCTACTAAAAAGTTAATCTTAGCATTTGATATTATCAAGTGGCGTAAGTAGTGTCATAACTACCAGCCCACATCGCTATATACATAGCCGGCTCCCATGATGCTTGTCACGAACAGCTTCCTCGGTCGGTTGTTCTACATGTCTAGGAAGCCTGCTGTTTTTCCTTCGATAAAGGCCCGACTGTGAGTGCAGTAGTGGCATGCCAACGTCGAGCCTTTGAGCTTTTAGGCGGCAACCATAAGAGCAGCCCACATTCTCGCATAAACAGCCGGCTCTATATGATGTTTTATCAAGGTACAGTCGAAAGGTTTTTGCTCAAAATATAATGCCAAGTATACTTGATACAAACAAGTATACTTAAACACTAATTATGAAGTCAGGCGGCAGCCGCCGAAGTTAAAAAATTACTTGATGCAGGGTTCATTCGGCAATGTTACTTCCCAGACTGGGTTGCAAATGTGGTGCTTGTTAAAAAGCCGAATGGCACCTGGCGAATGTGTGTAGACTACACAGACTTAAACAAGGTGTGCCAAGACAGTTACCCTCTGCCTAAAATTGATAACCTGGTCGACTCAACAGCCGGCCATGCTTTGATGAGCTTTATGGACGCCTACTCTGGTTTCCATCAAATTCCTTTATGGAAGAAAGATCAGGAGAAGACGGCCTTCGTCACTGATCAGGGGTTATACTGTTACACGGTCATGCCGTTTGGTCTTAAGAATGCCCCGGCCACTTTCCAGCGAATGATAAACACTATGTTCTTTGATCAGATTGGGAGAAATGTCGAGGCATATATTGATGATATGATTGTCAAGTCTAAACTTCAGAAAGATCATCTGTCGGACCTCCGAGAAACTTTCGCCACACTCAGGCGGCACC